CTGCTCCCCAGCCGGGGGTGACGGTGACGTGTTGCCATGGGGGGGAGCTGGGTTCAGTACTAGCTTTGTATATATTTGTACAAATTGCACTCTATTGTCATTATTACTATTATTATTAGTGGTAGTATTAAAGTTGTTTTCTTTTCTAATCAACAAGTCTCTCTCCCTTATTCCCTTTCCCTCTCGGGGGTGGGGGGAGAGGGTTAACAGAGAGCGTCTGTTACGGCTCTGACCCCAAACCAGCAACAGGACATTTCTTCCACCGAAAAGAAACACAAATGTCACAGCTCTGTACAGGAGTCAGGGCCCTGCTCAAACTCCTCTCCCTGGGCCCTATCCCTGTCGGGACGGGGGACACCAACAGGAACAATGCAGTTCTCGGGTACAGGTGGTACACAAATCCCTGCTGCTGCCTCACCCTCAACGGGAGCACGGGGGGGCCACGTGTTCCCGAGAGGAGCAATCGACCTCCACGGCCACAGGCAGCCGTCTCGGAGAGTTCAGGTGAGCAGCAGCAGCTGCAGAGCACAACTGACCAGAGCAAGACCCATCACCAGGGCACAGCAGACATTTATGGAATGATTAGGCTATAACAGGGACCCAAACAATATGTCTGGGAAAAGTGGAATAATTCTGTGCTTCCACCTTTAGGAAAATCTGCTATCTCTATTTTTAACGTGCAGCATAGCAGAAATTAAAATAAGGAAGGCATTGATTCACTCCTGGCCTTGGCTTCACCTTGGGAACAAACCTCCAAGGCCACAGAGACCTCAACACAAATCAGCAGCTGAAATCCCACCAGCCCAAGACTTGGCTTTGCAGAAGGATGGGAAGAGTTTCCTGGCCCCAGGGGGAGAACTCAGCCGAGCACAAAAATCCCGCAGCAGGCGGTGCCAGAGCCCCAACTAACAGCACAGTCCATGTGAGAGCTGCACAGGAAGAGCACATGCCCGCTGCCCACAGCTTCACCTGCAAACCCCACGGGCGTCCCGGGGGGCAGGGCAGG